GGAGGAGATTAGAGATTTATATTTCCCCTCTTAACATATTTTTAGTATCAATTATTTATAAGGCTATGCCCATTATTTAAATGCAAACGTCTTGACGTTTTAGGCTAGAAAAATTAAAAATTCATTGGTATACTTATTACTTATACGGAGTTTCCTAATTGCCGACAAATTTATAAAAACCGTGTGAATTTCGGACGAAACTTAAAAAGATCAAATACGAATAGCAGACAAATTTTCAATCATTATTTTGTAAACGTGAAGCAATTTGTTATTATCGTGATTTATGATATCGACGATTAATATTATTAGATATTTACTTATCTAGCTGCTCTATTAATAGTTACTTATCAGCATAATATTGTGCTGGTGCTTTTTAGACAGCAGCATTATGTATGCATTAAAATATTAAATGATGTAAAAATGTAAACATCATTTAGTAAATAATATAATTTTTGAAAATAATACTTAATGGCTAAAAAAAATTGGTAGTTGGTGTGGTACATAATGGGTATAAATTAATGTTTATTGCCACACATACAAAAATTAGTTCGGTGCCATTGCAAACCACTATAATATAAAGGATCATTATTTATAATTATTAAATAGATAGTGTTTAATTTATCCGGTAGCGTGACTAACATTATATTATAATTTACCAACTCATTCCAAATTCGTTTGTGAACACTATTACATGTTACAAATTCATGATAATTTGAAGGTATTTATAAAATATTTACGTAAATTGTGACGTTTAGATTGAAAAAATAGTTTAAACATAACAAAATTTAAAGAGAATAATATATTCAAGGGTTGTACGTATGACTTAATGATAAAAAAACACGTCACAAAAATAGTTATAGCCATATTAATTTTTAAATAGCTTTAACTGCTTTGTATGTCAATAATAAATAATCAATTTAAATGAAAATATATCATATATTAGAATATCTGCATATATAAGATATTTAATACATATTTTGTACACTTACGTTTAATATTTCATTAGCTAATACAGATACTTTAAATTTTAATAATATAAGTATAGTATTCTTTATAATTTAATGTAGATAATCTTAACTGCTAAATGATAATAAAAAAGAACTGATACTGCTAATGAGTGTGCCACTGTCGTAAGTGAGAAGTTGATAAAGTAAGATAAACCATTTCTGACGAAAGACGCTTCTAAACGAAATTCTATTAACCTTATTTTGAAATGACGTAATTTTACGATTTTCGTCAAAATGTTTAATCAAAATACTTATAAAAAAAAAACAATAAGCTCAACACGGTGAGTTTTTGAATACTTAAATCAAATGATGATGAACCTCGTGTAAAATGTCAAGCATTTCCAATCATCCAACACACTTTTAGCCAAAAAACTGAAATTACTTAAAAATGACAAATGCCTATACATAGCTTCTTCAATTGTCAAAATGTCGTCACATCTAAAAAATACCAATATAGGTGTGCTGTATAAACATTAGTTTACTACAATTATTTTTAAAACCAAATCACAAGAAAACAAACGGACATACTTCGCACGTGGGTGGGTCACTTTTGTAGGTGAGAAGTTGGGAAGGTAGAAAGGGAATTTAATGTATAAATTAACACACAATGTATAATCATTACTAACAAAAAATGATTTTGAGTGGAGTTTGGTTAACAGTATTGCTTTGTCAACAGTATACAGGGTGATTATACATTATTTTATAGAAACACGGACGACGTGAAAAAACGATTTAATCGACAAGATACCTTTTTGATTTAATTTTTTACGGTATCGTCGCTAAAACTTTTGAGCCAATTTCGAATTTTTAAGGAATTTTAATTTTTAGGAGTTTTCTGCTGTAATTATGTAATAATTATAAATACACATAGAGGCTTGAAACTTGGTAATAATACTTATATTGGGCTTATCTAAACGTGGTAAAATTTCCAAAATTATTGGATGACTTTTTTTTGTTTTAATAAACGTTTTGAAGTCAAATTGCAAAAAAAATTACTGCACTTCAATTTATGTATTACCGAACTGCGCTGGGAATCGTCTTTCATCAAGCAATGGTTAAAATTGCGTACAGATATAAATGAAATAATGTTATGTACCCTAGCTTCTTAACTTCTCACCTACAACAGTGATCGCTCCCATTCCCATTTACCTCTTTTTTTTTTTGGTTATTTTTTGCATATATTCAAATTCTAATTTTTATGATGTTTTAAGTGTAGTTAAAGCCGATATTATCAAATACTTGATTGTTCACAACACTTAAGGAGTATCCTGTGGTAATGCCAACTTTGGTTTTTCAAATGAGAACCTATATTAAACATTCCTCTAATAGGTGGAGTATTACTTTAAATAAATTTTGATGTTTAAATTTTAGATTTCTGGCAACCCGTTGACGAAATAATCAATTTTTAAGTTTAGGTAGGGGGAGAGTAATAGTGTATCATTTGTTTGGTGGCACGACGCACGGCGTTTTATAAGTGCTCCACTACTCTGTCCCTACCTGAACTTAAACTAAAATAAGAACTTAAAGTCGTTTGAAAAACCAAAGTATTACCACCACAAACGTGCGCAGACTTCGCTGACAAGGAAGGGAGGCAGAATATATATTATATATTATATGTAACATAATTGTTAACATAATTTCGGTTGTTACTTATTATTAGTGTTTGGAAAAAAAGCTAAAAATAAAAAAATCATTTAATTTATATAAAAAGCAATAAGTATTACAAAATTTACTAAAAAATTAAATAGATTTCAGTTAATTTAACTAGTTTGTATTAAAAAAAAAATCACTACCGTGTACTTACTTAAATAAATTGTCTTCAGTGAAACGTTGATGGTTTGGTCTCAAAATATTTATGTATATAGAAAATTTCTACATGGTTCTACATCCACTGAAGTTATTGGGGCGTATTTAATACATAAATAATTATCTAAATTCAGATAACTATTTATTAAATCGTCAACGTTTTTTTCCGATTTCTTTCCCAATTATTAATTAAACTATAGACAAAATCAAAAAACGAATAACTTGTTTGTAAGCTAGATTAAAAATTCAACAAAAATGGTCTCTTGGCTATTGGAGCAATATTTATAATAGAAAACAAGCCATACAAATTTATAATAATGAAATCGTTGTGCCGTAAATTGGGAAAAATCGTATATTTCGTCTTTTTTAGTTTTTCCCAATTATTATGAAAAATACTTTAAATATCAAAAAATTATTCCATTGATAGTGGTGAAATATTATAAGGAAAAATATCGATCTTCTGTCATTTTTTTATTGGAGCAATATTTCTAGTAAAAAACACAGTATTAACATAATAAAATAAATGAAAACAGTAACGCCGCGGCGCACACGCCGTAAATATTTGCCATTTTACCTATACTTCTCTTTCGGATTTTTCCCAATTATTTCCTAAAAACGTCTCAGAAAATCGAAAAATGACCTCCTCAATGCATTAATGAGAGAAAATGACCTTTCAAAAATCGTGCAACAGTCTATACTTCGGAGCAAGGTTTCTGGTAGAAAAGTTGTCCAGGCAGAAAAACAAAAAAACAAAAATCCAAAAACAACATATCAAAGTAAAACCAATGGATCCCTCGATACGCATCAACTTCGATACTAATTGAAACACATTTTCACACAAAAACTTTTTTGCTATTATTATTATTATTAACAAAAGGCTTTTGTCTTGAAATCCGGACCCTACTTAATAATTAAGTTCAATTAGTGATGAAAGTTTTTTTAATTTTACACTTCATTAATTTAATTACAAATTTAATATAATAATAAGTTAAAATTTTACAGGTTTTGAAAGAATAAATTAGCCTGCAGGAGGGGCAGTTACCCACCCTGCCCCCCCTGTGCGCACGCCTATGATCGATACAGATACACCTTAAATATTGTAAAAAATCTAATTATTTGAAAATATTGGCTTTAATTACACTTAAAAATTCCGGAAATCAGAATTTGAATACATGCAAAATTTAACTAAAAAATGAGGTGAGCACGATTAGTGAATACTCTTGTAAATGGCATACTATGGTAAAATAATTAAATATCTTCTGTAAAAATATTTTTTAATATTGTACCTATTTTCCCGTTTTTTCTACGTTTTTCCCCGGTTTTTTTATTTATAATGAAAAAAGCTTCGAAAATCGAAATATGTCCTACCCAAAGTACTACCCCAGTCAGATGTCCTTTCAGAAGAAGTGCTGTATTTCAAAATCGGAACAAAATTTCTGTGCTTTCGCTCTAGGGTCTAAAACTAAATCGAAAATAATTGAAACTATTATTACCGTAAATTTATTAGTTTTCCCACACGTTTTTTCGGACTTTTCCAATTATTATTAAAACTACTTAAAAAACCAAAAAATGATGCCACTAGATCAAAAATGTTACCAAATGTTCTTTTGTCATGTATTTTTTGAAAGAAAATGTCTAGTAGAAAAATTTTTACCATACAGAAAAAACAAAAAATAAAAATTGCACACATCTTAATAAAACTAGCTTTGCTAAGAATCTAAAAAAAAAATACAGTTTATATCTTAGATTTTAAATACTGATTAATAGGGACAAATAATAAATGCAATACATCTTAAACGTTAAATATAATTCTAGCAAATATAAATGTACACTTATTATTAGGTTAATTCTTTATGGAAAGTTATATCAAAAAAAATATTATATTTGTTCGATTGTTAGTATAAAATACCTTTAAAATATTTAGTTATATACGTATAAATTAAAACAATTTCGACAAAAGAGAAAACATTTTATTGCTTTTGATAGTTTATTATTTTTCAAGAAAGTGAATGTTATTTTGTTCACACGAAATGGATTTTTTTTTAGTGGTATAGTTATTTGTTAACACAAGTAATTTTTTTTTTTTAATTACAGTATTTTGTTTTACATTTTAGGTGGGAACAAAGATCTGGTTATTGAATTACCGGAAACAGTGATATTCCATCGGAGTATAAAAGCGTGGGCAACCGATAAGAAGACACCATTCACATTCAGTCCAATCTACAGTGAACACCTATCTGACAGCAAAAGACGAGTACAACACAAGTAAGATGAAAGTATTATTGTTTTCGTTGTGCGTGTTCGCGTTATGTGCTAATAGTTTCGCAACAGAAACCGCCAAGAAGGTGGATGATAAGAAAGTGTCTTCAGATGACAAGAACCAAGGTAAAAGGAGTTTGTATGATACGGGCTACGGCTATGGTGGTGCCGTGAGCACCAGTTTCGAACATGGAAGTTTCGATGCAAGTCACGGAAGTTTCGGTTCAGGATTCGGAGATTTTGATACTAGCCATAAGAATTACGCTAATTACGAAGAACACGTGCCCACCAAGACCATAACCAAAAACGTGCCACAACCATACCCCGTTGAAGTGGCCAAACCTTATCCTTACCCAGTCAAAGTTGCCGTACCAGTTGACAAACCTTATACCGTGGAAGTCCCTCAACCATACACAGTTCATGTTGCCAAACCTTATCCAGTCACTGTGAAAGTGGCCCAACCATATCCTGTGGTCAAGGAAGTGCCAGTACCTGTCAAAGTGCACGTCGACCGTCCATACCCCGTGCACGTCAATAAACCGTACCCCGTGTACGTCAACAAAGAAGTCCCGTATCCTGTAGAGAAACACGTTCCGGTAGCAGTCAAAGTGCCAGTAGACCGTCCGTATCCAGTGCACGTACCCGTCGAGAAGATCGTTCCGTATCCAGTCGAAAAACCCGTCCATTATCCGGTCAAGGTCCCCGTCGACCGCCCTTACCCAGTGCCCGTCGAGAAAAAAATTTTGTACCCAGTAGAAAAGCCAGTGCCATACCCAGTTGAGAAGACAGTGCCCTACCCAGTCCATGTACCCTACAAAGTCGAAGTTCCAGTAGCATACCCAGTCAAGTCGTATCAGCAAAACCATTACCAACAACACGACTACCACCATGGTAGCAGCGGATATTGATGTGCCTAAGACGCCTAACACCGTCGTCTCATCCAAAGTCTCTATACAGGTAAACACATAATGACAGAATCGATAGTATTTTTTTTTAATTTTAAGTTAGTATAGAAACACTAATGTATATAGAGACGCTAATACATAATCATACGTATACACTTCCGTCGCTCGTTTATCAATAGTATAATTTGTAGAAAAAAAAAATATGTATATTATTTAATGTTCCTTGTGATTTTTGCATCCGTTTAAGTTATATACTTATAATACGAAAATATCGCGTTCACTAATAATCATTGTATGTACCCATTCAATCATTTTTAATTTCTTTTTTTTTACAATTAAATATTTATCTATGAATCAAAGATGTAAAAAAGTAAAAAAGTGTGTAAATATATGTATCACAATAAAAACTATTAAGTACCTTAATAATATGTTATTCGTGGTTTAATGTTTATTATCAATCTAACTAGAATGTTTTATATTATGTATGCTGGACGATAGTACACTATATTATTCATACTTTTCATAATATTTTAGATTTTACTTATGTCATTATAGTTTGTTCTATAGTAGTTAAAATTTTAATATTATTTTAATTTAAAATAAAACCATTAGTTCCCTCGTAATGCTCCGAATCTAAAAAATTAAGTGGGAAGTTAGGAAGGTAGGATAGTTAAAATTATTTAATTTATATTTGTAAGCAACAGAAAACCATTGCTAGTGAAATACGATTCCAAGCGAAGTTCAGTTATGCATGTTTTGAAATACGGTAACGAATTTCATCAAAATTTTATCTTAAAACGATTATTAAAAATCGTTAGGTGCTCAACCTTTTTTGTATCACTAAGTAAAACTTATAATGAATTTCGTGTTAAATTTTCAAGCATTTCTGATCGGTTAAACATTTGTATTCATATAGTATCTAACAAAGAAAGCTACCTAGGTATTTTATATTTTCTAGTTGTATAATATAAAATACCTATAAATATTTCAATAACATTTTTAGAATATTTTTAAAACATCTAGAATAGGCAAATATAAGTTTTTTTTTATCAAAACTTCAAATCTTTATAAATAATTTAATTGAATAACAACAAAAAAGACGGACAAAGTTCGCACGTGGGTGGGTCAATGTTATAGGTGAGAAGTTGGAAAGGTAATAGACAAGAAGGTTAGGTTGGGTAAAGTTAGGTAGTAGAGAGAAAACTTAATGTATACATCTGTACGCAATGTATGTATCTGACATCTGTACGCAACGATTAATCATTGCTAATGAAAAAACGATTCTGAGCAGAATTCGGTTGATAGTATTGCTTTGTCAACAATATATAATATGTCATATTATGATAAAATAATTACATAAAATGCATTATATATTTTCTTTATTAATATTTGTTTAATATTGTACCTATTTTTCCGTTTTTCCTAATTTTTTTCCAAATTTTTCCCATACATTTAAAAAACTCTTGGAAAAATTAAAAAATGATCTTTCAAAGTACCACGCCAGAAAAATTTTCTTTTAGAAAAAGTACTATTATTGTAAATCGGAGCAAAATCGCTGGTAGACAATTTGTTCACAATTAAAAAAATAAAAAAAAATCATTGTAAAACCAATACATTCCACGCTCAACTCAGAATCAAAAAACAAAATTGAAAATAATGAAATCATAATGCCGTGATTTGTCAGTTTTATTTTACTTTTTTTCAGGATTTTCTCAATTGTAAAGGAAACTGCGTGGTAAATCAAAAAAAGACGTTACCGGTGCACCAACCAGTTGTACTTTACTTTTATAAAAGATGCTACACTAGAAAATAGGATTAATATTTCTAGTATAACAAAGTTGTAAAGACATCAAAAAAAAAACTATTACATTACAATTAACTTTTTTTAAAAAACATTAAGTACAACTTATATAAAAAGTTTTATAAAATGCTCGACATTTCTGTTAGGCAAAAACAATAAATTGTATCCACGTAAAACAAAATAAAAACTAAAAAATGGCACAATGTAAAATTACTATAATTAGCTCAACATTTGCCAGACTATTGACTGAATTGCAAATTCAATTTGCATTACTAAACTAACCATGCTGTTTACAAAAAAAAAAAAAACAATCAACTATAGTTAAGTAAAAAAAATATAACTATATTCAATGACAATGCCCCAATTGAACTTAATATACTTGGCCGAGTCTTTTTTTTTTTTTGTGCTATTCGACAACACCGTATGTATGCGTTTCCAATAGGTTTTTCATATAAAACGACAAACAATACACAATTTGAACAAGTTATAGGTAAATATACGTATAACGTTAAGCTATTCTATACAAACTGAGTCAATCGAACTTAATAAAATCTCTCTATATATACATATATAGTCGATCGAAGTTTATTTTTTCATCTTCGGATGAAAGTTTTTAATTAAATGTCCTCATCGGCAAGAAGTCCATTTACCGACTACTACATACAATTTAATTGTAAATTTGACGAATGTTGATATAGACTTATTCAAATCGATCGTGTACCAACCTAATCAGTTATCTCAAGTTATTAGCGTAGTAATCATTATTATTGTACCTACTAAAATTAAATAATATTCATTTTGGCTCACCATATGACATTTTATTACTAAGTCAAATTTAATAATATTTTAAAATCTTTTTCAAAAATGCCATTCCAGCGGGTCTTTGGTACCTCGTATAGGATATTGCTTATGAGTAGACTACAACTGTTATAGGTAAAGAAATGTGATGGTAGAATATATATTAGGTAAATTTGGTTAATAAACCGTACGCAATGATTCAACTGATAGAAATTCAGTAAAACCGTTTTTTGTCCTATTTAAATTGAAATGTTTTATTAATTTCAACTCGAAAATAAATTTAAATTATTTGTGATTGTAACGAGTTTTATCATAGGTATATTTTAACTTAAGGCGCGGATAAAATAAAATTACGATTTTTATAAAGCCGAAAGTGTATTTCTTTATTATTATTTATTATTATCACATAACTAAATGGGTGGAAAAAACTAAAAAATCTGTTAGTTTCCGGTCGTCAATTTGTTTACATAAAGAAAAAGAAACACATCATAGTAACACTAATACATTCCTCGCTTCACTCATAGTCTAAAAAATACATTTATTTATATCCGAGTCATTATCACAAGTATTAATCGTCAAATCATAAAATTTCTTCAAAAAACAGTTATCTACAAATACTTTTTAAAGTAATTTTTACTTTTATAATATAAAAATAGCTAATACCGGGGATGGGTACAACCACGGTTGTAAGTGAGAAGTTGGAAAGGTAGGTACATACGGTTATTTCATTTATATTTGTAAGCAACGATAAACCATTGCTTGATGAAAGACAATTCCGAGTGCAGTTCGGTAATACATAATTTGAAGAGCTATTTTTTTTTTTTAATTTTCATTTATGTTTTCAAAAAGTTTACGTTGCCTATACGGAATCCTGTATATATTTCATAACGTATAAATTTCATTTCTCAAGGGCCAAAGTATAATATTATAATAAAATGATGTATTGTTGGAACATATAGTTTTACAATGTTGTTTATTTTTTTTTCTCTGAACAACTTTTCACCAAAAATTTTACTCTAATTTTCAAGTGTAACACCTTTTCTAAAATACAATTTTCGTGGGGTAGTATTTTAAGAAGGTCATTTTTTTGGCGTCAATCGTAAAGGTAAGGTTAGATTAAGTTAGAATAAGGTTAAGTTAAACTTAATTAATTCGAGGTCAAAACCGGCGTTAATTAGAAAGTGAATTGAGCCGTACAACAATTCTGGTGAGGTTTTCAAAATTTTAAATAATACAACTGTTTTCTATCAGCATTGTGAAAAACCGATAACAGCTGAAAAAAAAATTCAAAATGATCAGCATGCAGTTTTTTGTTGCATCAAAAATGTTTAAACAAATCTTTTTCTAAACAAACTTTCATTCAATCAACGTCCATAGAAAATTAATCACAATTTTTCAATGAACTTTGTAATACTTCAATTTCTTCAAACACACCTTTATATAAACTACAAAATACAAACTTTAAATCTTTTTTGGAAAAGTACACAAATAAACACTTACCAGATGAAAGTACGTTAAGAAAAAACTATTTAAATGCATGTTATATTGACGTTTTACAAAATATTCGAGAATATATAGGTAGCTCGTACATTTTTTTTTTCTATTGATGAAACTACTGATCCTTGAGGAAAGTATGTAGCAAATTTCGTTGGCAAATTTAAAATCAATTCGCTTTCTAAATCGTATCTTTTAACATCAAAAATTCTCGAAAAAACCAATAATTCAACTATAGCATAATTCGTAAACAACTCTCTTAAACTATTACGGCCCGAAGGTAGGAATGATGACAAAGTGTTGTTGATGTTTTTTGATGCTGCTCCTTACATGACGAAAGCTGCACACAATTTAAAATCATTTTATTCGAATCTTGTACATGTAACTTGTGTTGCTCATAGTATCCACTGAATCGCCGAAAAAATGATTGATACTTTTCATGACATTAACAATTTAATTAATAATGAAAAAAAGATTTTTTCAAAAGCTCCGTATAGAAATCAGTTATATAAAGAAATATCGCCAAACACACTTTTACCACCACAGCCAATAATTACCCGCTGAGGTGCTTGGCTAGAGTCAGCCTTCTTTTATGCATATCAATTTGAAGAATTTAAAACTTAAAAGATGAAGCAGAAAGAATTAAAAATTGTAAATCGATTTTAAATAAATTAAATGTAAAACATGATCTTGCTTACATTAAAGCAAATTTTTCATGTATCGTTGAAAGCGTCAAAAAGCTTAAAAATTCTCATTTGTCACCTGTAGACTCGTTAAAT